TATGCAATCTGAGAGGCACTGTGGGAGGGGATCTGCAGCTGGCTGGATGCCCTGGAGAGAAGAGGCTGTGGCCAGGTAGTGGACCACAGCCCGGTGGTTGAGAACCCATTAGACTAGACCAGAGGTCTCCAAACTGTGGCCTGGGGCCAAATGTGGCCCTTTGCTTGCTTTTATCTGGCTCCTTGGGCTCTATTTCATCCACTGATACCAACAATAGGGCATAATTCATCCCACTGACACCAATGAAGGGGCAAAATTCCTCCCAATGATGCCAACAAAGGGGCACAATTTCTCACAATGAAACTAACAATGGGGCCCAGTGACACCAATGATGGGGCTCAACTCCTCCCAATGAGGACACCAACAATGGGGCACAATTCCTCCCAATGACACCAACGATGGGGCACTATTCCTCCCAATGACACCAACAATGGGGCACTGTTCTTCCCAATGACACCAACAATGGGGAACTATGCCTTCCAATAACACCAATGATGGGGCACAATTCCTCCTAATAACACAATAGGCACAATTCCTTCCAGTGACAAAGAATGGGGACACAGTCTGGCCTGCCAAAAAGCTGAAGGATAGTAAACTGGCCCTTTGTTTAGAGAGTTTGGGGACCCCTGGACTAGACCATACATTATTTCCTACTAGAATAAGTATTGAAGAACAGTAGCAATATTCCAAGACTGCACCCCCTCCTAGAATGAACTGCACTGTGCCCCCCAGTCTCAATACGTGCGGACGAGCTGCCTTATTACCGCGATGGCTCCGAGTCATTCTCTCCTGCCTTCTTTACAAGCTAATCTCGGTGATAAGCTCCTTAATGTGCTTTGCACGGATGTGAGGCTTACAATACCAGAAAGGCTTTTTTCTTCTTCATTATGATATGGCATTAATTTTTAAACAGCAGCAAAGCATAAAATCAGCCTATAAATGCTGAGATAATATAGAGACACTTCTTTCGGGCGAAACACAAGATTGCTCATGTTGGCGGTCATGCCTCGGTCTTTTGCATGGAAAAAATTCAGCCAAAACAGATATATAGATCGGAAACCTAAAAGCTAAATATTTCCAGCATTAAGGAAAATCTTTGCAATGGATCAGTTCATCATTAAAGGGCAACTGTCCCATTTTTATAAACCCCAAATTGATGAAATCATTCGTTCTTTACATCTAGAATAAGTATTGAGAAATGGTAGCAATAATCTATGACCGCACGGCCTCCTCCCCCAGAAAGGACCACACTGAAGGCAAGTCCCGGTCATTCCCAGTCTTGATAAGTGCAGCCCAGCAGCATTATTAGCCATGGCTCCGAGTCATTTTCGTCTGCCTTTTTTTTTTTCCCTACAAGCTAATCTCGGTGATAAGCTCCTTAATGTGCTTTGCATGGATGTGAGGCTTACAATTCCAGAAAATCTTTTTTTCTTCATTAGGATATGACATTAATTTTTAAACAGCAGCAAAGCATAAAATCAGCCTATAAATGCTGAGATAATATGTCGGACAAACACAAGATTTTTCACGGTGGCGGGCCGGCCTTACTCATTGGCGTGGAAAAAAAAGATGCCATAAGCCAGACTAAATGAATGTAAAAATCAGCTTTATGGAAAACCTTTATAACGGATCGTTTCATCATTAAAGGGGAACTGTAGTCTTTTTCTTCCTTTGTGAAACAGATCAGCTGAAAGCGGAGTTCCACTCACTCTGTAAAAAAATAAAAGTCAGCAGCTACAAAAACTGTAGCTGCTGACTTTTAAAAACAGCCACTCACCTGTCCTATGATCCCGCAGTGCCCCCGCAGCAGCCCATTTCACAGGCCGTCCTGTATTTTTGGAGGCTGGCATCTTCAGTATGGGCACCCGACTGTGACAGCTTGCGGATTCACAGCCAGGTGCCCACTGCGCATGCGCGAGTAGTGCTGTGCTTTCTGAATGGCCCCGTCATCTTCTGGGACCTGTCACGTGTCCCACAAGACAACAGGGAGGGAGGGTAGGAGGACAACTTCCGTTTTCGTTCGCCTAGACAATCGCAGCAGAAGTGGTGGTGGGTACGTGCCAAATTCAGGTACTCGTTCACCGATGGGGAGCGGGGGACCAATCTTTAAAGCAGAACTTCCCCTTTTGGGTGGAACTCCACTTTAAAGACACACTGCCTACTAAAAATGGGAACTGACAGGGAAGAGAACTGTATTGTTTACATACAGGTCTCTCCCCTGTCCGTGATACACAGTGATCACCGGGTGCTGGTGGGGAATCACCAACCGGTGACTGACAGACGAGGCCACCAATGGCGGCGCAGGTAGGGCGTATGCGCCCCCTACCTGGAAATATATATATGTGATTTTGCGCACACCTGCCGTCCTGTAGCAGTATTTCTGTTATAGGGCGGCGGGAAAGCGGTTAAAATCCAGTAAAATACGGTCTCACCCTGCTCTGCACATGCTCTGCTCTCCTTTTTTAGCATTGTGCTGAAAATCAGAGCCACTAGAGGCCGATCTGCTGACAGCCCAAAGATTTACCACTGCTCAGGGACCCTGGACTTCAGAAAAATGGCAGCCTCTGGCAAGAAGAAAACAGGAACAAAGCTGGAGGCCATTTACAGCCCACATTCATTTTGGTGCCCTATATATTAAATGTGGAATGTATGTTCCTTACTAAAGAACATTATTTTTTTTTTTATCAAGTTGTTATGGGTAAAGTTCTGCTTTAAACTGACAGTGGGGTTAATTTACTAAAGCCAGATAGACTGTGCACATAGCAAAGTGCAGTTGCCCCAGAGCTTAGTAAATGAGGTAAAGCTTTAATTAAAAAGAATAACCAATCACATGCAAGGAAAATAAAAAAAACAAAAACAACTTTTTGCTGCCATGGGACTGGATGATGGAAGTCAGCAGAACTTCTGCTCATTTACTAAACTCTGGAGCAACTGCACTTGCAGAGTGCAATTGTGCTTTGCAAAGTACACATTCTATTTGCCTTTAGTAAATCAACCCCAGTGTCTTTGAAGGGGGCAACCGTGACCCACTGATACTCATCTTGCCAGCACTTTTCTGCTGCTCCTTTGTTGCAGCCAGTGTCCGTGCTTTGGAGGAGTATTTATGAATGTGCTAACCGATACGCCCAAGCAACAACAGGAGACATCACTGCTCTCCTTAGTGTCAGACACTGGGGTTATCTGTGACAAAGGAATTGCTGGCAAGGTCAAAACAATGGGTCAGGATGGGGAGTGCTCCGTTAAGCTGGAGGTATCACTGATCAGACATGTAAAAAAACTGTCATTATGCATACACAGTTATAAATATGATGATCTTTTACTTTTTCAATGCTACGTTCTGCAGCAAGGGTTAAAACGTCCAATGCTGGTAGCAGGCAGGAGACGTGTACAGCGGATGTGCTGGGCCATTGGAGAGTCAGACCACTGCACTGTGTGAGAGCAGTGGTCCGACTCCTCTATGTGCTGCCAGCACAGGGGTTTAGAAAACCCTTTCTGTAGGGTTCAAAAAAGTAAAATAAAATCATAGCTAGTACTGTAAATGAAATCTGCCTGTATTTCTGTAATAAGAAGGTTCAGTTGGTTTTTAACACAGACAACTGCCCGACTGAGCATTCTTGTTTATCACCACATTGTAAGATCATGGTGCCTGTGGTAGCACATCCAACCTTCTTTGGTGGTTTTTGAGACCCTTTACTTTCCCCTCCCTCAAATAGACCATCAACTTGGTCTGACTCCCTGAAAACAATGGACCTCCACTCAGGCCGGTGTTTCCACTAGGCAAACTAGGCAGCCGCCTAGGGCACACTGCCACCAAGGGCTGCTTGGGCACAGCACAGGCTGGCACTCTCTCTGTGTGGGACGCCACCATTTCATGAATGATCGGCAGAGGAGAGGAAGAAAGGACAGAGATAGATGCCGAGTGTCTGGGGCCAGTGTAGCAGCTGAGCTGCTGCTCCTGTCAGTGTTCCTCTCAGACTCAGTCCCTTACTGCCAGCCGGCTGGTGGCTGCTGATCACTGTGGAGTTCCAGCCCTTCTCTTCCTATTCATCAGCGGAGGCAGAGCTGTGCCTGTGGAGGAAGGTAATGTCTAACTCTGATGTCTCGTGTCTGTGTGAGCGTGACCCAGCCAGCCATCCATCACATGTGCAATGTGGCAGTGAGTGATGACATCATCATGATCCCACAGCCTGCTCTTCTAGTGCCTGCTGGGCCTGCTGATCTGTTTCAGTGTTGGTGGTGTGTTGTGTCAGATCTGTTACTGTGTGGGATCGCTCAGTTCAGCTGCCTGCTGTCACGGCGTTTAATCTCCCCCCATTGCCTGGGGAATTCCAGCCTAGGATCTCTCAGATTGTGGATCCATCATCCTCCACTCACTGCAACTGTCACCCTGCCACTGCCAGCCACAAATACAGTCCCACCGTGACACCGATTTTGTCTTTAACATTGGTGCTGGTGGCATGTTATGGTGTTTATTTTTGCAAATTAAAAGAAATTTTGCAGTTTCATGTGATTCACACTGGAATTACACCAAAATTGTGCAAGACCCTTTTTTGTCTGCAAAAGAATTAGATCGCATGGGTGTTCAGACCCATGCAATCCAATTCTGCACAATTCTGCACATCGCATTTTGCAAACTGATTTTGGGTGTCATTAGCTTAACATACACACCCGCAGCGGTTCGGTGTGGGAATTGCATAAAAACCTGTGCAAATTCTGAACCTCAGTAGTGTGAACCAACACTAATGGATTCATTTTAGTTACATGAATATGCTCTTCACGTCTAGACAACGTCAGTACTTCTCCGCTCTCCCAAGTGGCTTCCTCACTATGGAATTATTGCCATCCCTACAATAGAATTTGTTCTACAGAAGTTTGAATCATTGGTATAAATTATGCAGTATAGCAACCTAGCAATCCATAGGATTAGACTCTTTTACAAAACATTTTGTTTGTACCCTGACCAATCAGAAACCCGGCTGTATTCGCTGCTTACCTGTTTGTGCCATGTTGAAGTTTGTATGGTATAGCCACAGGACAGGAGACACAAACTCTGTAATTGCAGCATCTGCAATGGAATGAGCATTAGATATGGGGCAGTATCATAATATTGGAACATCACAATCAAGTGGAATGCATCAAATTCAGTCTAGACCATTTTCTATACATGAATGAGGAGCAATGGTCTGTAGATTAGTGGGTGCTTAGGAGTACGTACTGAGTCTGTACTGAGCAGGGGCGGACTGACCATTTGGAAACTCGGGCACTGCCCAAGGGCCCAGGGTCAGTAGGGGGCCCCATGAAATGCCCCGGTACCTTTTTCATAGGCTTTTTTGAGTTTGGGCAAGGACACAGGGGCCCCATGATCCCCTATTGCCCGGGTTGTCAGTCCGCTCCTGGTACTGAGTGAAATACAACACTGTCATTGCTGAGCTCCCTCTGAAACAGCTCACTGCTTGTGGCCAGTTAAGGTGAAAATAAAGGGGAAAAAAATGGTTAAAAAACCCCACATCTAACAATAACATTTTTTTGACCTAGCATAAAAATTCCCTGAGTTGTAGGAACATGATAAGGAGTCACCTGAATATTAAAAAACAGAGCATACACACAGCAAACTGACACAGACTGACCACTAATGCTTTCCACACTGAGTTTTTCGAAGCATGTCATCCCACATGAGCAGACTTTTCTCAGGGTACTGAGTGTGCAAGAAGTCCACCACGTTCTTCAGATGGATCAGGAACATTTTCCCCAGGTCTCCTTGGTTATTGTTCAGCCAGGCCTTGGAATCCTGTCCTTCTCCCAGATGGTAGACCTGGAGGTTGATGCAGAAGATCATTTAGCAAAGGTTTCACACATTGTGGATCAAACCAGTAGAAGACAATATGGTTGAAAAATCTCCTCTTGCTTCCACCATTCAGGTCCAAGAGGAATATCAGAAATGTTTTGTATTGAGGGTAACCAATCAATTGGCTGCAATAGCTAATGTGTGCTCTGCATTTACACATTTGACCAAAATGACCATTTATGTTTATTGAAAGACCTTAAATTGAAGTTTTCAGATATTCCATCCACCATCTCTTGCCTGTGGTTGACCTTATGCTGACCCTACATCAGTAGAATTTAGTTCAAAAATGTTTATTTTAAAGAAAGTTTGTTCAGTTTTCTAATCACTAATGATCAAGTCAATGTTTGTCTTTAACCACAGTGAAGAGAAATTTCAGTGGAGCAGGATGGAAATTTTTTCTGAATGAATGAAATTTCTAACAGTAAATAATACAAAGTGAATATAAGAAAAAATATAAAATAAAAAATATTAAATAAAAAATTATGCAAAAAAAGTGTCCATAAATAATGTCCAAAAAGATTTTTAATTAATGTCCACACTGTGTTGGAATCACCACAAAAAAATGTTATTAAATCACCCAACTAAGCTCAAAAAAATAAAAATAAAACAAATACCTTTTTGCTCTAGGCAATATATAACAAATCAATTCTTGGATACAATACTGTGTAAATCAACGAACAAATTTTCCTCCAATGAAAAGTATTATTGTGTGAATCAACGAACGATTTTTCTTCAGATAAAAAAACCACCATTCAAAGATATAATAAGGATATATCGCAATCCGATTCTTAGATGCGAGAAATGAACGAATTTTCAGATAAAACTCCACCATTCAAGGGTGTAGGTAATTTCCAGGAATATATCTCATGACTCTTTCGTATATTTCCATACCATAGGGACCATGTTTAAAGGCAAGAAAAAAAGAATCATGGTGCAGCAAGTTTTAAACATATAATGAACTTTTTAATGAACGAATAAAACTCACAAGTCAGGTGTCTCCACCGACACCAGTTTTACAAGCATGTGTTTTAGGCAATCGTGCACGATCATATCTTCGTTTACTCTGGATCCAGAGTAAACGAAGATACGTTCGTGCACAAGTCGTGAGATTTATTCCTGGAAATTACCTACACCCTTGAATGGTGGAGTTTTATCTGAAAATTCGTTCATTTGTCGCATCTAAGAATCGGATTGCGATATATCCTTATTATATCTTTGAATGGTGGTTTTTTATCTGAAGAAAAATCGTTCGTTGATTCACACAATAATACTTTTCATTGGAGGAAAATTCGTTCGTGGATTTACACAGTATTGGATCCAAGAATTGATTTGTTATATATTGCCTAGAGCAAAAAAGGTATTTGTTTTATTTTTATTTTTTTGAGCTTAGTTGGGTGATTTAATAACATTTTTTTGTGGCGATTCCAACACAGTGTGGACATTAATTAAAAATCTTTCTGGACATTATTTATGGACACTTTTTTTGCATAATTTTTTATTTATTTTTTATTTTATATTTTTTCTTATATTCACTTTGTATTATTTACTCAATTAGCGCATTCCTTTTATTTATTTATTTGTTTAAGCAAAAAATTTGTTGATTTTTTGAGTGGGGAATTTGCTGCTTTGGAGTTAGAGGGTGTGTGGCGCTTTTCCTATAACATTTTGAATTTCTAACAGTGTAGGTGTTTTTTGTTAAGTGAAGTTCATTCAATCCAGAACGGATTGTTAAAAACAAACAACATTTTAAATTATTTTTGAACAAAATATTTCAAATTTTCATGTGAATTATCCTAAAAAAATGTTAAAAAAAAAAAAAAAAGTTAGGTCAGAAAATCAAAGTATGGCCAGCTTCAGAATTCGATAGCAGTCCGAAGAAACAGCCAGTTTCCAGTTGAATGCTTGGTTGTTCAAGAAAGATCGTAACAAGACAAAAACTATCTTTGTAGAATAAATTATTGTACGTTCAAAAAGCTGATCTTTAAAACTGAATTCTTTTAGTTCAATCCTATTTTATTAGTTTTATAGGTTTTGTTGAACACAAAAAAGGAGAACCTTCACAATTTTTGAAAGAGGTGAAACCATTACAGAACATAAACATGGTCATATGGTGCAACACATGGGAACACTCCAGGGGCTCATTATAAAGCACAGTCAAGACAGTGAACAATATCTTAATATAGATGCTGTAGATAATAAGGGCCTAGTGTTTGCAATGTATATATCAAGGTCTCACACAGTAAAACAGGAAAAATGAGCAATATATGACATAAAAGGAGGTAGGGGTCGAAAAAAAGAAAGGGGGGGGTTTAGGAAAAAGGGACAAGGGAAGATGCTCTGCAACCAATGCTGGGGCCCCCAGGAGGGAAGTGGGGCTCAAAACTCTTGCGAGTTATGGAAGATGATCCAGGCGGCCCAGGGTCATGGTATGTTGATCCAGCCTATCGTGCTCCATCACCAGCAAGTGTTCCTAATTCATGAGTGAGTCCATTTCCAGTACCTGTTCGGCCAAAGTAGATACATTTGGGGGTCTCCAGTATCTAAGGATGGTGGCTCTGGCAGCTGTCAGAACGTGGTGAAGGATGTGGCAGTTCATGGCTTTAATGGAACTAGGCATTATAAATAAGAGGGTGATTTGTGGGGTATTACAATAAAGTTTTAAAACAGAAGTCCAGAATCTCTTGATCGGGTGCAATCAGCTCAGGCATGGCGCATGGTTCCCTCTTGACTCCCACACTGCCAACACAGGCTAGGGATGGTATCGATGTAGAGTGTTAAGATTTTAAGGTTTTTCTCTTGTGCAGAACTGGCTATAGAGCTTGTGTGACAGGAAAAATGCCTTATCCCAGTCTTCTTTATCAATCTGTGAGTCTTTAACTCCTTCTCCCACATAACAGTATAGGCCAGAGGGGTTGGATGAAAACTCAGACCAGCCTCTCTGGCACCAACAACCATGCCAGGCTCAAAGTCATTTAAATCCCCTTTCTTCCCCATTCTGATACTCGGTTTTAACTTCAGCAAGTTGTCTTCACTACTTCTAGATGCCTAAATGCATTGAGTTGCTTCCATGTGATTGACCGATTAGCAATTTGTGATACCAAGCAATTGAACAGGTGTACCTAATCAAGTGGCCAGTGAGTGTATATATTATACAATGAATGGTCCTCCTTGAGAAAGAGGTTATTTATACCCTGCAACACTAGATCAGAGACCTCATTTTTTGCTGCTTTTTTTGCTCCCTGACTTTTCTATTGTATGGTATGCTTTGAACAGGGGCGGACTGACAACTCATGGGGCCCCCGGACAATAGGGGATCATGGGGCCCGTGTCCTTGCCCAAACTCAAAAAAGCCTATGAAAAAAGGTACCCGGGGCATCTCATGGGGCCCCCTACTGACCCTGGGCCCTCGGGCAGCGCCAGAGTTTCCCAATGGTCAGTCCGCCCCTGGCTTTGAATGCTGTAAGGTGGTGGATTTGTCCCCTATATTTTGTTTAGCACCCCAGTGTCTAATATCCACACTAAATTGTTAAGGTGGCAAGATACAATCTCAAATTATCTAAAACTAACCATATGCACATCAATACATAATTGATGGACTACAGATTATTTAAATGTCATTGATCATTTACTTCAAACTGATAATTTGGTATCAAACACAAAACAGAAAATTGACTTATTTTTCCCTAAGGTCTATTGTTTTTTTAATATGATTTTGAATAATAAAATTATTTTATTGGACAATTTTATTTTATATGTATATGGCGGCATTAGTCTGAAGACTGTAACCTTTTTTTCTGAGCATACAGATGAATTCTGGGTAATATTTACACATCTCCCAGCATTCCACAGTGTGTGAACTATTAAACTGTTGTATACTTGGTTAGAAGGACTGCGGAGAACAGTTAGGTTGGGCACTGCTATAGCTCCTCTATCATTTGGGGTGGTCTGTGTGGGGGCTCCCACTGTGAATAGGATTTAAAAATTTAGTTGGTATGCAGAGGATAATGAAATTGTAACAAAGAATAAGTTTCAGTTAATAAAAGGAATGATTACATTGCAAGTAATTACACATAGCACAACATCAACCTATTTTCATTGTATAAGCTCAAACTAAATGGAGAACTTCAGATCTGACGTTTCAACGTCCAAGAAGAGACATGGATATCCTTAGGGTCATTACCTCATCTGCTCCAATGTGCATCCAGTTGGTCTTTGGATGCTTGTCAAGAACTTGAGTCAAGATCTTCTTCAGCAAGGGCATAGACTCTGCAGAGTGGGGGTTTAGACTGTTGGGGTAACGCTCCACTTCTCTCAGAACTTTGTACTTGTCATGCTTCAGAATGTACTAAATATGGAAAGACAAGATTATAGAAGTCCATAATTGGTCCATGTTGTCTACATCAGATTAGGACATTTATTAAAACATTAAATTCCTCACTGTACTGGACAAAATATTGCTCAGTGTGTCTGCCAATATAATGATTATAAGGGGGAGAGGATGCTGAAGGATGTGGAAGAGTCATACAAATGACAAAGCCACCTTAATTTGAACAGTTTATTTGCAGGTTAGCATGATAAGAGAACTGGAAAAAAAGGCGCTGTCTCTCAGAAAGCACCTTACGCAGCATCTTTATTGGGTGACAAGTATATAAAATTAAGTACAGTGTGATTCAATGGACATCAGAATCTCCTGTCCCTTCAAATCACGGGGTGTACAATCGTACCAGGTACCAAGACGACATGTTTCCGCAGTTGCGCTTTGTCAACTTACAAAGCGCAACTGCATACGTCTTAAACCCACATATGCTCCCAGGAAGCCAATTTATGACACCCAGGACGCTGACACCAATTTGAAGCCGACAGGAGCATGTCTTTGATCTCAGCTGTGGGAGGAAACCGGAGTGGAATCACACTGTCCACTTCAGGAGGAATTTTATTATACTTGCCTTTATCTCACCCAATAAAGATGCACCTCACTAAGGTGCTTGTCTGAGAGCATTTTCCACAGCGCCTTTTTTTCCAGCAAAGGATGTAAGAGTCCATGCCCTTAGGATTTCAGGTACCATGGCGCTGTCAATTTACACAACTTTACCCATGAGCCATTTACTGCAAGGCAGGTGCGTATCTAGCCCTACTAAGCCACTGTGCCGCCCATACCACTAAGCCTAACACATATAACATACACATACTAGGACTGTTAGACAGGAGCCAATTCACCTACCAGCATGTCGCCGGATTAGGATTCATTGAACAAACTTGTCACATCAAATCGTAGATCTCTTAAGGCAGGCGTTTTTTTCATGCATGTGTCACAATATTCATTGAAGCCAAACGTAGATCTCTTAATTTTTTTTCATGAAATGGTCACATGTGTACAGGAGCTGATGTACAGGAGCTGATGCTGAAAGAGGGTGCTTTCTTTAGGTGTCAAACATTTTACACTTAGGCTAGGTTCACACCTATGCAGTTTATGTTTGATCAGTTTTTGCAGTGCTTTTTGCGGTGCGTTTTTACACATGCGTTTTTTATTTTTATTTTTGGCCAACTTGTTGCTGGGCAGATTAAAAATGCAAAACACATCAAAAACATATTAGAAAACATGTCAAAAATTCACGGAAAACACAGCACTTTTATATGTGGTTCCATTGAATTCTATTGGACTGAAAACACAAACTGCTGCGGGAAAAGAAGTTCCTGACCCTTTCCAAAAAAACACGCCCGCAAAAAACACATAGATGTGAACGCGATCCATAGGAAATCATAAGTTCCTGTAAAATGCATTAAAAAAAAAGCACAGGTGTGAACCTGGCCTTATAGTACATGATCAAGTGATGTATACTTAGCCCTAATTATAATCTCCAGTGGGTCAAGAATGACATGAATGCATAGAAGAAAAAACAAATCAATTCGGTAAAGTGCTGAAAATAACACTGGCTCTATAAAATAATATCCATGGCTTTGTTTTTACAGCTGCTGGAAAGAAAAGCTGCCTCAGTAAATGGAGATCAATCTAATTCAACTACACTGCAAAATGACATTTGAAGAAAAGTTTATAAATAAATAATCTATTTTTGATGGGCTACAGTATACTTACATCAATCTTAGCGCATTTTTTAAAAGATTTCTGCTTGGCAAAATAACTCGGAATAATTAAGTCAGTTAAATTATTTTTAGAAATAATTTTTGTATTGGAGACACTGTGGTTCGTTTGATTTAGCTGACTAAATTAATCATTCAGGCATTCCCTGACATAGGTGTGTAGGTGTGTGTGTGTGAAAATAAACACTGGCCAATATTTCAGTTTTTTGCTTGTTTTTTTTTTTTTTTTGTTTACATTTGGGCTTCTGGCAAGTTTTGTTGCTATTTGAGTCCTTACTGCTGAGAATAAAGTTAAGGAAGGGTTTGAATTTTGACAGATGAGAGAAGATTATGTTCACTAAACCATTTATAATATCATCCTAACTATTCTAATTCCACAGACACCACCCCAGAAAGAAGTGGCTGAAACACTACAGTTAACATCAAAGCACTGAATAATCGCAGGTGTCTAAACACAGTTGTCAGTCAGGGAAAGACTATTTATAGACAAACTATGACTTATTCAGTAAAAAGAGTTTTTCAAGTTCTGATATAGCTGGATCATCCAAGGAGTGCCATATTGGATCACATTATGTTGACTCCACCTGATGTTTTAACAGTATCTATGATTTTTACAAGTTCTCTTGTAAAAAAAAAAAAAAAAAAAAAAATGTTGCACAAATGTGTGGGAGGATCTATTTGGCAAGCAAGAAGTAGACTCTCACAATCACTAGCTTGGTCTCCTAAAAGGAGGTTGCATAGAGTGGAAGGATCATAGCTTTTTGAGAATTTGGCTGGCTGATGACATCTGCTTCAAAAACACACATCGTGAATGAATACCAATTATTGTTTCCCTTAAAACGCTATGGTCACTTAAATCCGTCCTGAGTGACAGAATAGGCCCTGATTTGATTCCCAGCATGCAACACTCACTCTGGGGAAACTGATTGAATCATCAACAGCTTTATGAGTACAAGACGGTTGGAGAAGAGACAGAAATGCAATCATTTGTGACTCTAGCCAAGCGTGAAGAGAACGATGGTGCAGACTGCTGTACAATTACATTCATTACATTCAATACATTCCTGCTTGTCTATTTTCCAAAGGCAAGGGGAGAGTGGGAAATGGAACAGAAATATAATATGATAACAGGAAGAAACATGGCTGAAAGCGGACAGCTTGAGACCAGTGCTGCCATCCTGTCCTATGTCACAGCTAACAGCCTCTTGAGTGAAAATCATTATTGAACTTTACTAGCTCTGTCATATTACAAAAGAAAACATTGTAACCTCTACATATCCTATTTTACAAAATAATTAAATACAGAAGTGTGGGAACTGGGCTGTCAAAATATTCCAGAATTCATGATTATCCTCTCGCTCTTTGGATCTTCTCCAGCGGTAGAGGGCCCTCAACGATACAGAAATTGGCACTAAAGGGGTGACATCTCTGAGTCATTTCACTGCAAGTGCTGGATACTGTCTGGATAATGTCCAACGCTGTCTCAGGGTGCAGGTCCATGATGTTCTGCACTCACTGTATGTCCTGAGTCTTCTTAAGCTGGTCATAGATCGATCGTAATGCAGCAGGGACTGGCTGAATTGTGATCCATCTATGGCAGTTTCTGTTAGGGAGCAGTCGATCAATAGATCAACTTCTCTCTAAGAGGACTGTTGGAAGATTTTCATTCGAGCACCACCTGCAGCATTGATCAGTGTATTCTGACGGTGGAGTAGTCCCTGCTGTCAGAATACAATAGCACAGCAAGGAGGATTCCTTCTTTTACCTTGATTTTGCAGATGGGGGGAAATCCCTTTATTTTTTATTTTGTTCAGACAAATACGAACCATATATGGCCAGCTTTTGTTGAATGATGCTGGGCACCATTTAATCTGGAAGACTGAGGAATTACTGTGCAGGACAGGACCGTGGGGGATGACATTGCTGGATGAAAATCAAGGCTTGAATAAGAAAAAAAAAAAAAGCAAGGTTTTATTTAAAAAGGTAATTAGCATATTGATGAGGGGGGGGGGGGGTAACGAAGAACCATCAAAGGTAAAATATAAGTAAAATAAACTTTAATTTTTAAGTGTTTTAAGACCAGCCTTTTTCAGCCAGGATGCCCAGGCACCCTGGGGTGCCTTGAGGTTTCTTCAGGGGTGCCTTGACAAAATGCCAAAAAATTGCCCACAATTTGTATACAAGCGAGCGGGTGGAACAAGCCTGCCTTTTAGCTACACAAAGCTGCTGGTTTTCATTGTCCACCATTAAGACCGGTTGATAAGAAAGATGTTGGTTGCCTGCACAGCATCCTAGTTTGACCCTCCCTTGCTCCTCTCCATCAGTGCCGGGGTCACATTAGCTCAGTGATGGAGAACAACTAATGGAGAAGAGAAACATTGGAATACTAGTCGGTACGAATGTGCAAAAATGTATTTTCTTTGGAATAATAAATCATCTCTAACATTGGGTGCCCTATATGTGTGTGGATGTTGCTCTGTTATATAAACCGATTAGAATAGGTTTTTTTTTCACATTTTAGAATGGGGTGCCTCAAGACTGTCCATAATTGTAAAGGGTGCCTTGGCACTGTCCATAATTTTAAAGGGTGCCTCGGGACTGATCATAATTTTAAAAGGTTCCTCGGGACTGTCCATAATTTTAAAGGGTGCCTCGGGACTGTCCATAATTTTAAAGGGTGCCTCGGGACTGATCATAATTTTAAAAGGTTCCTCGGGACTGTCCATAATTTTAAAGGGTGCCTCGGGACTGTCCATAATTTTAAAGGGTGCCTCGGGACTGTCCATAATTTTAAAGGGTGCCTCGGGACTGTCCATAATTTTAAAGGGTGCCTCGGGACTGTCCATAATTTTAAAGGGTGCCTCGGGACTGTCCATAATTTTAAAGGGTGCCTCGGGACTGTCCATAATTTTAAAGGGTGCCTCGGGACTGCCCATAATTTTAAAGGGTGCCTCGGGACTGCCCATAATTTTAAAGGGTGCCTCGGGACTGTCCATAATTTTAAAGGGTGCCTCGGGACTGTCCATAATTTTAAAGGGTGCCTCGGGACTGTCCATAATTTTAAAGGGTGCCTCGGGACTGTCCATAATTTTAAAGGGTGCCTCGGGACTGTCCATAATTTTAAAGGGTGCCTCGGGACTGTCCATAATTTTAAAGGGTGCCTCGGGACTGTCCATAATTTAAAGGGTGCCTCGGGACTGTCCATAATTTTAAAGGGTGCCTCGGGACTGTCCATAATTTTAAAGGGTGCCTCGGGACTGTCCATAATTTTAAAGGGTGCCTCGGGACTGTCCATAATTTTAAAGGGTGCCTCGGGACTGTCCATAATTTTAAAGGGTGCCTCGGGACTGTCCATAATTTTAAAGGGTGCCTCGGGACTGTCCATAATTTTAAAGGGTGCCTCGGGACTGTCCATAATTTTAAAGGGTGCCTCGGGACTGTCCATAATTTTAAAGGGTCCCTCAAGACTGTCCATAATTTTAAAAGGGTGCCTTTACTGAAAAAAGGTTGAGAAACACAGATCAAAACCATCATAAAGTTCAAAAGACAAGAGCTTTATTATTTCAAATCATTCCTTTATACCACTGTGATAAACTGGAATATACAACCTGACTGCAGTCCATACACTACACCAATTGGCGTAAATATGTGACACTGTGAATATCTTCTTTTCACAATTCGATGCACCACCACCACACCAGGTGAAAAACCTGCTCTCCTCCAAATTAAATCATTAGCACTCTTCAGGATATTCACAGCTTTTTTCCATACAGACTCAACTCTTCCTCTTAACTCCTCTCACCCTCCTTTTGGTCAGACATCCAGCAGGGATGATCTCATGAAACAAAAAGGCCAACACATAGTGCTCTCCATATAACACTTTATTATAGCCCCACTAAAATAACACTTACAAAGTAAAAGCTAAAACTTGCATAAAATAAGTCCACATCCAGCTCACCGCTCTGCCTACTGATGAAGCCCTGAGAGGGGGCGCAACGCGTCTAGGGGAGAGGATCCGAGCCTGGAAAGTCACGCCGCCACCTTCTTGCTAGCGAATGCTGAGCTGGATGTGGACTTATTTTATGTGAGTTTCTTCCTTGCACATGATTGGATAATGGAAGTCAGCAGACCTTCCCCTCTGCCTTTAGTAAATCAACCTATATGTGCAGTTAAGATATTTCATGCCTATCATTTACCTGTAAAAGTCTCCCTTGTGTAGACATCCGAAAGCACTGCTGCTGGGCACTGCCATCTTGGAAGTGATGTCAGCCGTCCCAGGAGACACTATTCTCCTTCACTCCTCCACTGGCAGCTACATAAAAGATTACGTATGGAGGCGAGGAGAAGACCGAAGAAGCTGGGCCAACACAGAGATGTATTGGACCCTCCCAGAAGAGGAAAGGACTATGGCATGCAAGGTGAATGGCATGCAAGTATGTAAAATATACTTTTTGAAAAAAAGAAAAAAATGTGGCAAGAAAGCATTTAAAATATTTTTTAAGTTAGTGACAGGGTTTCTTTAACAATGCAAGCTTGACTGATAGGCCAGTTTTTATAGAAGTTATTATTTTACCTCCATGTGTCCAAATGTTTGTATGAGGGGTACCACTTCTAGATTATTAATCTCAGCAAGGTGCAATATTCTTCCAATGTCCTCTTCGCTGGAAATATGAGAGGCAGAGAGTCAGTAAAAGAAATATGTGTTTAGATTATAGTATTTTAGATTTGTTACAGTTTTTATATACTAAAATAACAAACAAATTAGTTTTATAGCAAACCCTCATTGTTTTCTGGATTGGTAAACACTGTGGAGAAATTCATTCTCAAATTCACAGCCTAAGCACTGAAATTGTTCTGGCATTCTCTGAGCATCATAGGTCAGCCTGCTCTCTCCTGCTAACTGGTCACTCAGCAGTTCAGCTACCCCTGCTCCTCCTCCCTGCAGTGAATTGAGTCTTCTAATGCAGTGGTCTCCAAATTGCAGCCTGAGGGCCAGATGTGGCCCTTTCCTTGCCTTTATCTGGACCTTGTGCACTATTTTTTCCCACTGAAACCACAAACAGGGCACTGGACCTCCACTGACACCAATGATGGGGCACTGTTCCTTTCACTGACACAGAGGATGAAGCATTCCACCCACTGACACCAATGATGGGGCACTATTCCTTCCACTAACACCAATGATGGGGCACTATTCCTTCCACTAACACCAATGATGGGGCACTATTCCTTCCACTAACACCAATGATTGGGCACTATTCCTTCCACTAACACCAATGATTGGGCACTATTCCTTCCACTAACACCAATGATTGGGCACTATTCCTCCCACTGACACCAATAACTGGGCACTATTCCTTCCACTAACACCAAAGATTGGGCACTATTATTCCACTAACACCAATGATTGGGCACTATTCCTCCCACAACACCAATGATTGGGCACTATTCCTCCCACTAACACCAATGATTGGGCACTATTCCTCCCACTAACACCAATGATTGGGTACTATTCCTTCCACTAACACCAATGATTGGGCATGGTTTGCCTTTTCTACTCACAATGTCCACAGTCTGGCCCCCTCAAAGTCTGAAGGACAATAAACTGGCCCTTTCTTTAGAAAGCTTGGAGACCCCCGATCTAATGTAAAAACAGAGCAGGAGCTCCCAGAGGGTCTTCTAAAGTCTGCTATGGAAATGACTTAACTTTCTTCTGCCCCAATGTGAGTGACAGAATCCTAAGGTTCAAACCATTGTAATCTTTTTATTCTTGACTGAACCTTGAAGGGGAGCTGCCAAAGTGGTCAGCATAGAATCACAACCAGAAGCTCTGTTTGCTGCACAGTCTGAGATCACAATTGTTCACAATCAGGATATAAAATGTATGTTTGTTTCTTTCGAGTTTTGCATTTGGCAGACATCCTCAGGCACTGTAAATATCAATTTTTAAATGACCGATTCTTTCTCAAAAATCAGTTGATTGTGGGTCTCTCAGAGACAATTGTCAAATGACTGATCAATGAAAAGGGAGAGAAATCAATGGACTGCATATCTCCTTGCACTGAGCATTCAGTCACCACAATGTAATGAAAAGGTGGGCAAAAACAAAACATTTGTCAGGGTTTTAGATCCTAAACTGCTTATTAGCAATACCTTCTCTTTTGCCGATTTGTAATTCACATTAAGGCTCCATACACCTTAGCATTTTTTTTTTTAAGCTCAAAAAATGCTGGAAACAGTTTTTTTTTAGTATTGTTTTAGAAGCATTTAAAGCCTTTAGGAGTACTGGTGTTTTATTAGCATTGTTACAGTACAAGGAAAAAAAATGCTGTTAGAAGCATTCAGGAGCGTTCAGCATTATTTTGTCTGCTGGAAAAATGCTTCCAAAAACAATTTATTTTTCTACTCCTAAGTTTCGGTTCACACTACTGCTACCTGAAAGTCGCACAACTTTGCCAGACAACTTGAGTACTACTTTGAAGCAACTCTGAAGTAACTTTCAGGGAAAGCCTGGGTATAGATGAGGATCCGACTTGGAGGCGACTTCCATTAAAGTCTATGGGTACACACTGCTGCTTTCTGAAAGTCACGCGACTTGCAGTGCGACTTTGCCAGGCGACTTGAGTACTGCTTTGAAGCAACTCTGAAGCAATTTTCAGGTAATGCCTGGGTAATCTTCCTCTAATTTCAGATCCAAATCACATCAATATAGAAGAGGAACAGGGGCGGACTGACCATTAGGCTTGAGTTTGGGCAAGGACACAGGGGCCCCATGATCCCCTATTGCCCGGGGGTCCCATGAGTTGTCAGTCCGCCCCTGATGAAGAATCAACTTGGAGGCAACTTCCATTCAAGTCTATGGGCACACACTACTGCTACCTGAAAGCCGCGTGACTTGCAGTGTGACTTTGCCAGGCAACTTGAATACTACTTTGAAGCAACTTTTAGGGAATGCCTGGGTAATCTTCCTGTAATTTCGGATCCAAATCACATTAATATAGATGAGGAACCAACTTGGAGGCGACTAATATTAAAGTCTATGGGCACACACTACTGCTACCTGAAAGTCACAAGACTTGCAGTGTCACTTTGCCAGGCAACTTGAGTACTACTTTGAAGCAACTTTCAGGAAATGCCTGGGTAATCTTCCTGTAATTTAAGATCCAAATCACATCAATATCGATGAGGAACAGGGGCGGACTGACCATTTGGAAACTCGGGCACTGCCCGAGGGCCCGTGGGTCAGTAGGGGGCCCCATGAGATGCCCCTGGTACCTTTTTCATAGGCTTTTTTGAGTTTGGGTAAGAACACGGGCCCCATGATCCCCTATTGCCTGGGGGCCCCATGAGTTGTCAATCCGCCCCTGATGAAGAATCAACTTGGAGGCAACTTCCATTAAAGTCTATGGGCACACACTACTGCTACCTGAAAGTCACGCGATTTGCAGTGTGACTTTGCCAGGCAACTTGAGTACTATTTTGAAGCAACTTTCAGGGAATGCCAGGGTAATCTTCCTGTAATTTCGGATCCAAATCACATCAATATAGATGAGGAATCAACTTGGACGCAACTTCCATTAAAGTCTATGGGCACACACTACTGCTACCTGAAAGTCGCGTGACTTGCAGTGTGACTTTGCCAGGCAACTTGAGTACTACTTTTAAGTAACTCCGAAGCAACTTTCAGGTAATGCCTGGGTAATCTTCCTGTAATGTCGGATCCAAATCACATCAACAGAGTTGAGGATCCGACTTGGAGGCGACTTCTATTAAAGTCTATGAGCACAAGTCAGCTAGAAGTCGTACAGGAACCTTTTCTAAAGCCGGAGCGACTTCAGTAGTGCTAATTAAGACAGATCTCATTGACTAACATGAGATTTCACATGACATGCGACTTGGGGGTCTCACAAGTTATATCCCAAGTTGTGGCAGTGTGAACCGAGCCTTAACACTGAAGCTTCAAAAAATGCTACTAGATTAAAATAGTGTGCATGGTCACATAGGAAAACACCAATTACCTAATGCCAACTAATGCTGATAACAGCTTCTAGAAACTTAAAAAAAACGCTAATGTGCATGAAGCTTAAAGCCGAAGTTTAGGTATAGCAACTTTTACATTGTTCCAATTTGGACCAATGTAAGTATGTATGTGCCATACTTGTGGGATCCCGGGGAAAGCTGGAAGTCACCTTGCAGCCACCGCTACAACAGTGATCACTACTATCTTCCAGGTCTTGTGCAGACCGGCAGATATTCACGGCTCTCCGCACAGCCAGCAATTACTTGCAATGATTGCTGCTGAACACAATTTGTGTGTGTGTGTCCAGCAGTGATCACCACAATTAATCGCTGGCGAATAGCTGCGGCTACCGACAACCTGTCAATACAGAGAATGGTGCCAGCAGTTGCAAATAGTCGCTCTCATCCGTAGCTGTAAATAAAAGATTCCTGCTGCTACAATTTGCTTAATCACCGGTGTGCATGTAGCCTCCAGCCTAGGAACACATCTGTTTTTTTTCAGGGATCATACTATTGCCAAAAGATTTAAATATCTGGAATTCAAATCATACTGTGTTCTCATTTTGTACTCTGCACCAGGAAAAAGGACAGCTGGAACTTGACCAGGTTCTACAGTCAACATTTCCTCCAAGTTTCATAAATCAATCTACGTCCACTTGGTAAAGTTGTATCCCTCCTTCTCATCGCTTCATGGCTAGTTAACTAATGTGTGTCAACTGAAGCAGGTGGAAGAACATTATTCTACTTTAACCCTTTCCGGTCTGCCTTTGGTAGATTAACATCTCCCTACACAATGCCAGGTGCAGAGGGACCATCAATCAACATTCCACTATGACAGTTAGGAGCACGCAGTGCTGCAGGCTCCTCGCTTTGACACCTCACTGTCACTGAAAACTATCCAAACGAATCAGCATTTCATGCATGACATGCCGATAACATAGTTTTGTTCGTGAACAGCTGTGAGTAAATTTCCTTTTCATTCTTGATGTGAAAGTAGAGACAGCAGGGGCGGACTGACCATTTGGAAACTCAGGCACTGCCCGAGGGCCCGGGGTCAGTAGGGGACCACATGAGATGCCACTGGTACCATTTTCATAGGCTATTTTGAGTTTGGGCAAGGACACAGGGGCCCCATGATCCCCTATTGCCCGGGGGCCCCATGAGTTGTCAGTCCACCCCTAATGTGCAAATGTTCAAAAAAAAAAAAAAAGTAACCCTCCCAGTATGTCGTATTGTAAAACAAATGGTGGAGAGGTCAAATGTTTAGAAACGATGCTACAGAAAACATGCACTGGCAGCCAGTGTGTTCAGGAATGGATGTGATTGGGCTGTCATTGGACAGCTCAGATCACAGGCACAATGTACAGAGCCAATCAGAGTGGCCCTAGTAGGAAGATTTGATCCTGGAACAATTATGTGAACATTATCTGGACTCTCACATATAAGCATACGGAGATTTTAGATCCTCCGGCTCTCTGGTAGACATGCTCTCCTATTCAATGCAATCCTTTGACAACCCCCCCAACAACTAATTGCAGAAGTGCTTTGATTTTTAAACTACAGTAGAAAAATGTTAACTGGAACCTGACCGGTTGGAGTTGGTTTCATCACTAGTAGGAGTATTTGATTCTCAAACCATTATTAGACTCTCACCTATAAGCGTATGGAGACTTCAGGATCTCCAGCTCTCCGGTAAATGGAAACATGTCCTCATATTCAATGAGTAGTCCGTTGGCCCCCAGCTTGGAAAACAGTGGAAATATCTAAAGAGAAGACACACAAGGCAAGATTACTGGAGGAGAAGCTTTTCTAGGGCTTCTAACCTGTTTCTGTCACAGCTGTGCTGGGGTGCTGATGTCAGTAGGGTCTTCATTCAGAGGCTCTGCTGGGGTTGGCATTCACAACGCAGAGCTACTGTAGACCATATGACCTGATTTGGGTCACGTGATCAGAATCTGGTAGGAATGAGTCCTCCCCCCCCATCCCTTCTTCGTCCATATACTCAAAATTAGCGCACTATAAAACGCATTTTTTGACATAGATATAGCTTCCATGTACCAGCGATGTCATTTTTAACTTAGAGTTCTCCCACAAGAACGTTTTCCTTTTATTATTTTATTATTACATTAATTTGGCTAAAGATAAAAGTATATCATGTCTTCTAATAGTGTTCTTATACATATTCTTTTAATTGGCATCACTTTCTATAACTTGCAATTTGTACTTTTAAATTAGTATTCAGCATTGCTTCAGGATGAGCCGTCAGCTCTGATTGACACCCCATCCCCTGCTAATTACACTCAGCCAGCCTTCCCTAATGGTCTTCTATATAATGGCCACCGACCATGGTTACCAGAGACTTGACAAAGCACAACTGCGCAAAACATGTCGTCTTGGTAACCCTGCTTATGCTCCCAGCTGAAGCCGACGCCGGACACTGCCTTCCACCCTTCGCTTGCCATGATGACGCCATCCGGGAGGCCAGTACGCTGACACCACGTGATTCTAAGCCGGTAGGAGCATTCTCCGATCTCAGCTCCCTTCAGAGTGGATGGGCCGTCCTTTGGCGTCACACTGTTCACTTCAGGCTGGTCAAATTTTAATATATTTGCTACTTTATCTCACTTAATAAAGATGCACCTTCATTAACCCCTTCACGCCAGCGCCTCCCGGCCCTTTAAGGGTTCCAGAAGCCGGGTCATGTGACCACCGTGATGTGCCGTCATGGCGGTCACAATCGGGAAAGGTCCCGATCGAAAGAGGCGATTGGGACCTTTCCGTGAGTACCGGACACGTGTGCTGGGAGCGCGCAGGGCGCACGCTCTCGGCACCTATGTCCTTTTTTAATAGAACACAAATGTGCGGCCGCTCGGCGTCTAGGCCCAGATTCCAGGGGGCCGCAGATTTGTGTGTGCGGCTGGCGTGAAGAGGTTAAGGTGCTTGACTGACCGCATTTTCCACAGCGCCTATTCTTTTCAGTTCTCTTCATCATGTAAATGATTAACAAGGCAGCAGTGGTGAGCTCATGATCAACTGTTCACATGCTTCCATCTGGAGTGGAGTGGAGTATGAGTTTTCCTTTAGGAATGAGTCCTAAAGCATGCTATAGAATATAATGGACTACATGCCTTCCTACAAGCTGATCCTTTAAATCTAGAAGATACAGGAAGAGTGGAGCAGCCAAGGAATTCCTGCTGTTAGCACTGAACTACAGAAAACAGTGTCTACAGAACTACAGAAAACACTGACAATTTCATATTGAAGAAAATGAAGAATAGTGAATAAAAAAAATTGAAGAATATAAAATATTGAAGAATAGTGAATAAAAAAAAGTCAAACAGCGCGGCCTATTAAAATGGATCTAACAATAAATTGTTATATAAAATCCACCCCCATAGTTTGATTAAATGATAATGAACACCTGGAAAGTTTTTTCTTAAAGTATTGGATTCTCCATCCCACTGGTGATTGGGTCACATGTTCAATGCCTTGGCAAGAGAAGATGCTACCATCACTCTGTGCCCTTGATTGTCGTACACTTTTCCAACATGACAATGATCCAAAACACATACCTAAGGCCACATGTGGTCTCTGCTGATGTAAGGGATCCATTGCCTGGCTCATATAAAGATCAGTTCTTAAAGATCTTGAGGTAGGCAAAAAGGTGACCAATGTACCAATCCGGGTCATGTGTTTGGGCACAAGTGTTTATGAGTAATGTTGTCTCTCACCTGCTCATAGTAAGAAATCTTCAGAGGAGCTCCCTTGAGATCGAGATGAACCAATTGCATCTGCACCTTACTAAAATCCTTGCGCACTACTGTATGCTTCTTGACCACGGGTTCTGACAACTCCTCCTTAGGTGGCTCAGGTGGCAGATCTATGATGATTGGGTATATCCTGGCATCCACCTTGTCACCCCAAAAAAAAAGTCCTCATTGGCCTTCGTTATAACGGGTCTTGAAGCCTGCGGGGGACTGTGCACAGATGTAAAACATTATCGTATGAATAAATTATAGAATAGTATATAACATTTTATACAACAGATCTTGTTCTGTAAGCAGTACCAACCACCAAAATTGACCAATTCAGGCCAATGGGCCACACAGCAATAGTGCTGCAATGGTGTGTAATTCATGCAGTTGCAGCACAGTGGGCTTGCAATGGTTCCCACAGGCACAGAGGAGGCAGTCCACTGCGGATCGCTCCCCAGAAGGGGTGCAAGCACTGCCGCACATCTAAACAAACTCTTTATCCCACAAACCTTGAAGCGAAGTTCCAGTCACACTGTAAAAAACGATAAAAAATAAAAGCAGCTACAAAAACTTTAAAAAAAAAAGCCACCCACCTGTACCTCGATCCCACGGTGTCCTCCCCGCAGCCCATTTCAACAGCCGTCTGGTGTTCCCGGCTCCAGCATCTTCAGTGTGGGCACCCAGCTTGCGGCTTCACAACCGTGTGCCCACTGCACATGCATGAGTAGTGCTGCGCTTTTTGAATGGTCATGTAGTCTTCTGGGACCTGTCACGTGTCCCAGAGGACTACGGGGAGGGAGGGGGGAGGACAACTTCCACTTCCGATTACGTAAGGGATCGCAGCAGAATTGGGAGGTCAATTTCGGGTACCCACTCCCCCCCACTCCCGAAAGGCACCAATCCTCAATGGGGAGCGGGGGACCACTTTTTAAAGTGGAACTTCCTCCTTTGGGTGGAGCTCAGCTTTAATTTCCCCTCTGGAGCTTGTCCCAGCATTATTTTTTTTATTTGCTTTGTTTCTGTAGTGAGGAATGGCTTTTATTATTGTGACATCACCTGGCTTGTAAAATCTTTCAGGGGCAGTTGAGGAATCAGCAAGGTATTGTAAGTCTGTTCTTATTCACAGACATGCCTGCTCCCCCAGAACTACATCTCCCAAGGGCCCTTTACTGACACGGAGGAGTTGATTTACTAAAACTGGAGAGTACAAAATCTGATACCACTGTGCATGGTAGCCAATCAGCTTCTAACTTCACTTGTTCAGTTAAAGTGTTACTAAACCCACAACTGTAAAATCAGTCTGTATATGCAGTGAAACATGTTTGTAATACTCTAATACCTCAGGCGTAATCCTCCCAATTGTGGAAAAAGGCTGTTCGATCCTGTCTTCTATGATCCTCCCCTTCTTCTACTGTCCCCAATCCATCTGCAGAAAGTACAGAGCCCTAGGAGGCACTCTGTACATGCTCAGTTTGGCGCATATTGCTAGAGAGTTTTTTTTTAAATTCATGAGGGTGCATGTGATCAGCACAGAGCCAATCAACAATGTCCAGACCAGGGGCGGACTGACAACTCATGGGGCCCCCGGGCAATAGGGGACAATGGGGCCCCTGTGTCCTTACCCAAACTCAAAAAAGCCAATAAAAAAGATACCAGGGGCATCTCATTAGGCCCCCTACTGACCACGGGCCCTCGGGCAGTGCCCCAGTTTCCAAATGGTCAGTCCGCCCCTGGTCCAGACAGAGGGTCAGGGGTCATGCAGCCTCATAGGACAGGCGGAGCAGAATGAAAACTCCTCCTACAAGCTTTAACCAGTGCTCAGCCACACACTAATAGAAGTCACAGGACTGCTATATATGTTTTATAGCAGAAAGTAAATAATTTTTTCCAAAACTTTCAGCCTTTTTTCTTTTATATCGCAAAGAATAAAAACACCCAGTGGTGATCAAATACCACCAAAAGAAAACTCTATTTGTGTGAAAAAAATTATATAAATTTGTTTGGGTACAACATTGTATGACTGTGCAATTACCAGGTAAAAGTAGCGCAGTGCGGTATAGCAAAAAAATGGCCTGGTCATGAAGGAGGGAAAATTTTCCGGACCTGAAGTGATTAATCTGCAAGTTCTGACGAGCTTCAAACTGGAATGTCTAGCAGTATTTTCTGATGCCCATAGGCAAAAAAAAAAAAAAAGTCTCCCAATATGGGAAAATAAGGCCAATTAAAGCATATGTTATTTCATGCTTTCTCTTTAGACACCCACTATGCACATATCTGGCTGCCCCATATATAATGTGTGTATATATATATTATATATATAAAATGTACATATATAAATTATGACACTCTACATTGAAAAAAACATCATATTTGCATGTCTAGCTAAGCAGTGAAGAAACTCCAATTCGTCTTTCATATCTTCCCTGTGCAGAATTTGGATGGAAGCCCAGTTTTTGCTGCTGTTATTGCATGTCAGCATTCTCACCTACCTGCCTTTATACAGATACTTTACGACAGCCAGGGTCAGAATAAGCAGGACTCCCACACGCAGCCAGTGAATCCTCCTCTGGGAATTCATCTCTGCAGAGAAAAGGAACAATGGAAGGACGAATTCACAGCCGAAATCCAACACCAATACTGCAAAAAGATACAGAGATCACTGTGTCAGTGGAATGTAAAACTGCACAAACATGACAAAGAGGGTGGAGTGATAAAATATTGTCCTTTGCTTGAAGTAACTAATACTTACCTTGGGCAGCAACTGGCCCCTGAATCGCAAACACAAATGCCTGCAAACCTGTGACCCGAATTCTAGGCTACTCTGGCTGACAAACACTAACCCAGCTGCCTAAAGGTGGGAATACACAATTAGAAAATCGACCGATAGGTCATCCGACAACCGAGAGGCGTTCGTTCGTTGGTCGAAATCGTGGCCCACATTAACCATTCTAAAAAAATTGTTCGCCGGGCAATACGTAGTGTTGACGTCTTCCGTACAAGTGGAAGTGATGCGGTGTGCGTGTGACCTTGTAGCCACGCCCTTCCGGCCAGAACGAGCGATATACACAACAATGACCAGCAAGGAGTATAATATCATTTATTACATTACCTATATACAGTGGGGCGAAAAAGTATTTAGTCAGCCACCAATTGTGCAAGTTCTCCCACTTAAAAAAATGAGAGAGGCCTGTAATTGGCATCATGAGAGACAAAATGAGAAAAAAAATCCAGATAATCACATTGGCCGATTTGGAAAGAATTTATTTGCAAATTTTGGTGGAAAATAAGTATTTGGTCACCTACAAACAAGCAAGATTTCTGGCTCTCACAGACCTGTACCTTCTTCTTTAAGAGGTTCCTCTGTCCTGCACTCATTACCTGTATCAATGGCACCTGTTTGAACTTGTTATCAGTATAAAAGACACCTGTCCAAAACCTCAAACAGTCACACTCCAAACTCCACTATGGTGAAGACCAAAGAGCTGTCGAAGGACACCAGAAACAAAATTGTAGACCTGCACCAGGCTGGGAAGGCTGAATCTGCAATAGGCAAGCAGCTTGGTGTGAGCAAATCAACTGTGGTAGCAATAATTAGAAAATGGAAGACATACAAGACCACTGATAATCTCCCGCGATCTGGGGCTCCACGCAAGATCTCACCCCGTGGGGTCAAAATGATCACAAGAACGGTGAGCAAAAATCCCGGGACCACACGGGGGGACCTAGTGAATGACCTGCAGAGAGCTGGGACCAACGGAACAAAGGCTACCATCAGTAAAACACTACGCCGCCAGGGACTCAGATCCTGCAGTGCCAGACGTGTCCCCCTGCTTAAGCCAGTACATGTCCGGGCCCGTCTGAAGTTTGCTAGAGAGCATTTGGATGATTCAGAAGAGGATTGGAAGAATGTCATATGGTCAGATGAAACCAAAATAGAACCGTTTGGTAGAAACACAACTCGTCGTGTTTGGAGGAGAGAGAATGCTGAGTTGCATCCAAAGAACACCATACCTACTGTGAAGCATGGGGGTGGCAACATCATGCTTTGGGGCTGTTTCTCCACAAAGGGGCCGGGACGACTGATCCATGTACAGGACAGAATGAATAGGGCCATGTATCGTGAGATTTTGAGTGCAAACCTCCTTCCATCAGCAAGGGCATTGAAGATGAAATGTGGCTGGGTCTTCCAACATGTCAATGATCCCAAATATACCGCCCGGGCAAGGAAGGAGTGGCTTCGTAAGAAACATTTCAAGGTCCTGGAGTGGCCTAGCCAGTCTCCAGATCTCAACCCCATAGAAAACCTTTGGAGGGAGTTGAAAGTCCGTGTTGCCCAGCGACAGCCCCAAAACATCACTGCTCTAGAGGAGATCTGCATGGAGGAATGGGCCAACATACCAGCAACAGTGTGGGCCAACCTTGTGAAGACTTACAGGAAACGTTTGACCTCTGTCATTGCCAACAAAGGATATATAACAAAGTATTGAGATGAACTTTTGATATTGACCAAATACTTATTTTCCACCATAATTTGCAAATATATTCTTTCCAAATCAGCCAATGTGATTGTCTGGATTTTTTTCTCATTTTGTCTCTCATAGTTGAGGTCTACCTATGATGCCAATTACAGGCCTCTCTCATCTTTTTAAGTGGGAGAACTTGCACAATTGGTGGCTGACTAAATACTTTTTTGCCCCACTGTACATAAATAGTGATACATAAAATATAATCTGCAGAATTCTGGTTTCATTATCTCATTAGGCCAATCTACTTTTAACATTTGGATTTCTCGTTCGTGTTTACGAAGATTGCTTGGACATAAACATCCTGGTCATCTTCTGTTTCCGCTCATACGTGATAGCGCTCGAAAGATTTTTTTCGTACGACCGTCACACCAACGGATAGAAAATCGGTCGTTCGTATGCGAAACGACAACATTTTTCACTGTTGTTCAACTGGATTTTTTCCTTCACAATATCATTATCGGTTAAAACATCCCGCTCATCAACGAAGAGAAAATAGTTCAATCAGTGGTT